GTCGTGTAAAACGATAAAAAAAATAAAAAGGGAGCGGGGGGGGGGGGGGGGGAAATAGTAGACTAAACACAGCTTGGGATTGTATGACTCATTTAGTGACGACTCTTATAGTACTTACACAAAATTTTATTCCTTTAAAGAGATTTTATTCCTTTTACCTCAGTGGGAAATGTTATAAGTTTAGTTTTCTTATGTCCAATCTCTCGAAAACTAGGCTCATTCGATGTGTTTTTTTTACGAAATGAACAAATTTTGCAAAAAGAAGCATTGTTCGAATGTTTGTGTTTAAAATATATTTTTATAATAGTTTTATTAATATGTAGCCAAAAATGTAGCTTAAAATACATTAATCTTTATTTTAATAATCTTAGTCGAATTATCCTGATCCCGGGGCTAGTTAAATCAGATGGAATGCATTAGAAAAATGCATTTTTTTCATATTAGCTATCAGTTTCCTCTTATTATTAAAATGTTATTAGATAATTAAATGTATGTAGTAATTAGTATAGAATTCATATTTTCAATAAGTCTCTTAATTTCGTCTGTAAAAATTTGAAACTGAAAAATGAGTATATTAGCCTCGGTCTTCTCTACTCGCTGCATATCAATTTCGATATCTTTACTAGGTCCTCTTGTTCGAAGTTGATGGAACATATACGACATTTTTTCATTAAGAAGTAGATATAAAATTATTAATATATTATATATTTATATATTGTAATTATATCATTTATTTTAGGCACCCTGATCAGTATCGTCATAGGCCGCTCTATTTTAGTCACATACTCTTAAAAGTGCGTTCGACACGTTTCTCGTAATGTTCAAAGATCCGAAAACAAATCAGATCATTTATTTATCTAATCGAAAAGGTAAATAATACTTTATTGTTAAAACGAATATCATCATTAGACGATCTTATCATATAGAAGAATCGAGTAATACATGTACTTATGATCTCTTATATTATAGGATATAATACGAATATCTTATTTTGCTTGATTGGAACATGTTGAGTCAAAACGTGCTAGAAAAAGAGAAAGGTAGATAAGTAAAATTAAAACTAGATTTAAAAAGCGAAGTGTGTATAAGGAAATAATCAGATTGAAGAAAATTTCTCTCGATAGAATAATTTTCCAGGTGATATGCTAAAGAAGCATAAAACATTCATTTGGAGAACAATTGCTGCAAGTTACATCAAAAATTCCTTTGAACCAAACTAAAAGACATTGGATTATCATCTTCAATTCGTAAATTCTCATCAATTCTTCGTTGCTTCTCGAAAGTCCCTTAATAAAAGATAGCGATGCGAAATAAGGTCGTAAATTTCGCGGTCGAGAATCCGTCGTTACCGCGATTATGAGTATCGAAGTCACCGACCTTTACCACCCGCACGATCGTAATCATTCTTTTCTTAGTCCCCCTCGGTAGTTAGTGGAGCTGAAGGAGGATTGAATGTGACTCCGCAATTTTTTGGAGGCCACAGAAATCGCTCCGGCTCCGAGAATCTATAAAGTTCGCGATGCACGCGGAATGAACGACCGGCGCCAGCACCCACGCAAAATTCACAGAGCCGTAAACATGCGATACACATATTAAGCTATTCGTCAGAAACTTGCGGATTGATCCTCCATCGGCCCCTCAATAGAAAAAAATCCATCTCTTCGTTTTTCAATTTTTATTTATTCGATTAGGAATGGGAAGAAAGTCAAAGAAAGCAGATCTTTTGTGTACAATGACATAAATTTATTTCAAATTTCTGAGAGATATAATACGGAATAAAAATGAAAATGAAAAAACTTGAAAAGTTTAGTGAATGGAGCAAATGCGAATAAAATATGTCATTCATACAAAAACGTAGCAATAGTTATAAAAATGACAATTATATGGTAAGTTTCGTATGTAAAATTAATATACATAGTTAAATAAACTAATTTATGGTTGTAATAATTACAAAAATAGCTTATTTAATTATATACATTAATTCTATAACGTCTACCTATATAGTTATCACTTTTACAATTGTTACTACTAGGGTAACTCTGATATATACGCCGTATTTAACAAAAACTTAATTTATTAAGAATCATTTACTATTTTTAAGGTAATTATATCAGTAAAAACTTTGTATTATCTATTATGAAAAACATATTAAAAATCTGAAGCACTTATTTTTTGTATCAAAAAAAGAATTTTTTGAAACCCTTGCATTTTTCCCATATATTTCATAGGGATGGATTTACGGCTCATAGATGAAGGGGATGTATAGCTCATGAAAAATTTACAAGTAAGAAACTGAAATCATAACACAATACTAATATAACATAAATAACATGTAACAGAATAGTTGCGGGAAAATTATTCTTACTCTTTCTGTTTTTCCTGACTTCTACGGCGTAAATCCCGGATTAGCACAATATATTTGCCGGAGTTATTTTATGTCTTTTTCTTTAAATATATTGGGATTTTCTCTAGTTTGAAATTTTATTAATTTTTCGAAAAATTGAATCTAGTAGTTGATGTAAGGGCAAAAGCACACGACAGACAAAATATCAGCCGTTATGTCGTTTATGAAAAACAATAAATTGTACTTATGTGAGTAGTTACATAAATTGTCAAGATCTTTCTATGAACGACACAACAATCGGCTGTTCCATTGCACGTGTTGTATTTGACAGTCATTCAGCGATCGATTGTCGACCAGCCGATTTGCTGAAAGTTGCATAAGCGTTTAGATCAACTGCTAGATTTACAGTTTTCGAGAAAGTCGGGCGTGTGTTACAAATGCGCTAGCTTGTTGACGAAGCTACGAAAGTCCGGAGCACGCGAAATCATATATTGTCTATCGTGCACTCTTGTCTTAAGTCAATTAACTGTTCACACAC